GAGCCCCTCACGCCCGCGCCCGCCAAGTCGCACCATGGTGCGAGTGTGAGCGCTTCTTCCTCTGGCCTGACTGCCAACGCGGCTGCGAATGACACCTTGGCCTGGCTCTACTCTACACTACACACTCACACTTTCATCTAGCCACGGTGGAGAGAGGCTCGGCTGACTGGACAGAGCGAACTGGCCATGCTGTGGCCTTGGCCGAGTTACCTACGGCCGACACGCGGGCGACGTCAGATATTCCGAGCCTTCTCCCCCCCCCCGCCGACAATCGCATCTGCTTCGGCCACAGTCGCCCGCTTCACTTGCCAGCCCAAGCACTGCCTGTCGACGGCATGACATACCCTCGCTCATGAGCGAGCCTCTTTTCTTTTTCTTTTTTTTTGGCTGCAAAATTTCTCTCCAGCCACTGACTCAGCCAAAGAGGCAAACTTAAACCCCTGACTAAACACTGCCCATCATGTCATCATGTCATGGTAAGCCCATTCTGCTTCAAACCTTTAGCAATACGCGTACAGTCTTACATAGGTATCTTCAAACAAAGCCAGCGTGGTATAGTACACAAGCAACACAACAACGCCCTGCAGCCATCCAAACGAGTGTAGACAAACATGCCAGTCCAATCAATCAGTCTTTCGTCTCTTCCCTCTCACTGCCGTGTTCAAGACGCTGAATCATACTCGGCCCCAAAAACACGCCGAGCATCTTCTTCGCTCATCTCCTCGCCCTCGCCAACATCCACCCACCTCTTGGCCAGGCTCGACCTCTGGTCCGTACGTCCCTTGAGCATGCATTCGCCGTTGCCTTGACAAATCTCCTGCCGTCCCAAGTTCTTGAACCGCGGTCCTAGCGGCCCGTTGACGTAATGGTACTGCCCCAAAAAGCGGTATTGCCGCGGGTCGCTGAGTGGGTAGAACTTATCGCCCCAGTGCCCAGCAAAGTAGAACCACGACGTCGGCGCCACGGGGTTGAGGTTTGATGCCACAAGTCGGTCGGCCTTGTAGTCGTACTTGTACGAGTACATGTTCATGACGGGATCCCAGAGAGGCCCCCGGTCCGTCACGTCATGCAGAATGCCTCCTGGCAGAACGTACGGATGCTTGCCCTCGGTCGCATACATGGCGTGCGTTCCCGTCGCAGAGAAGCCAATGGGCTACGCGCGTTAGCTCAACTCATTGCACAGCGGCCTGAATCAACTTACCCTCTTACCACTCTTCTCTACCGCCCCCCATGTGTACGCCTCGCCAAAGCTATGCTCACTAAAGAAGACGGCTTTGGGCTCGCCATGCTGAAACCTGATCACAGTGTGCTCCCAGTCGCCCACGTGATTGCCAAACCGCACATTGAACACGGCATTGCCCAGGTTGTAGCTGTAGAAGAAGAACCAGAAGGCGTCCACCACTCCGTCGCCCTTGTCCACCACGACCAGCGGTACAGGCGCGTCGCTGCGTCCGCCAACAACTCTCTTGCCTTTGAACCCGCGCCGTGCAAACCGTAGTTCGGGCCGCCAATCCTCATCATCATCATCATCATCCTCGACAAGCTCATCCCCCTCGGGCAGACTTGTGGGAATGGGCGCTCCAGGAGCTGAGGGGTTAGGTCTAATTCCGCCTCGGTCCTTGGTATCACCCACGCCCACGTGCCACCAGCTCGACTTTTTGCCCTGCTTGTCTTCTTTGAGACGCCCATTGGCTCCATGGTCATGCTCTGCATCGTCATCGTCATCGTCGTCCCCATTCCCATCCCCCGGCACGCTGGGAATATTGTAGTCTGCGCTCAGCCAGTCTGGACGGTCCTCTACATTGTCGTCGCTCTGCAGATATACAAACCTGCCCCACTTGTTGAGCTCTCCCAGGTTGCTGATGTTGGGGTGGTCGCTCGTTGCTTGCAGAGGCGTGTAGTTGAGGTGAGGTGTCGTGTGGATCAGATGCTCGCCCATGTCCCCTGGCCAGTATTCTTCGCCCGAGTATAGGTGGATCAGAGGCGCATGGTCAATAACATATTGCGGGATTTCGCGTTCGACGTCTGGAACATAGTCCTCAGGGATGCTGCGCGCGTCTTTCCAGAAGGTGTGCAGGTCAATCTTGACCTTATCCTGTGCAGTCGTCTCTTGGTTAAAAATGGTAGAAGTAGGTGTGGTCCAATGCTCCTTGTTCAGATGCGCCAGGCCGCACAGCCCAAACCACTGGCATGTTTTCCTGTCTACCCATGATTTTGACGACGCGATCCATTCTCTCTCGTCTGCGCGCTCGGCCTTGGGTGTCAACTTTTCGAAAAGCACATTCTGGTACAGCTGCGAGAAGGAGAATAGTCCAAACAAGGCGCCCCCAGCCGCGATCGCAGGCTTCCTGCCCTTCATTTGTGTGTCCTCCTCGACCAACGAGCCGTCAAGGCCAGCGCAAGATGTAGAGGCGTGTCCACACGCGTCTTGTGGCGTAGTGTGTCCTATAGGGATATCGATGGTAGGGATAAGCTGGTCGTCATGGGCGTCCCGCACAGCGTCTGGCCCCTGGATCGAGGAGTCGGTCGAGTGGACCACGGCCGGAGGGTACTCTGGTATATCAACTGGCGACGTGGGAAGCGATGACGGCAGGGACAGCTGAAGCGGATACTGCCCTCCGCCATGATGCAAGTACGGCACGATTGGCACTGACTAGTCAGCTTCAATTCACCCCAGCTCATGCCAAAAACCGCAGCGGTGTAACGCGATCCGGAAGGTTTGCAAGCCGATACTGCCGGCATGCTGACAAACGGGGGCAGGTGGCAGGTGTGTCTGCCCTGGGATGCAGCAACATCGAGCCTCGTTTTGCGGAGCGCAGGGGACAGGTGCGATGATCAGCAACATTGCAACCATCGCTAGACCGGCCAGGGCTTGGATTGAACTAACAGCAAGCTCAAAAGTGGGAAGGCCGTCGGACGTGACGGAAACGTGATGAATGAAGATGGCTGTGTGGCCGGACACGCGCGGAAGCAGATGGGGACTTACTGATGGATGGACAAAGGCGACCGCAGGCAGCCGATTGGCGCTAGTAGCAGGACTGCAAGAGGCACAACTCTTGGTAAACGGGCGTCTTGACTGTCACTGTGGCAAGTGAAGATGCATGTGCATGCAATAGATGTGTGGGTGCAGTGTGGCGCGTAGTGGCCGTGGCCGTGGCCGTGGCAGTGGCAGTCGTGGTTGATGCAGATGCATCCTGGACCGGCGGCCGGCTGGGCTTACGTAGGTCAGCACTAACCAGGGACGACGCGGCGGGCGCCTCGGTAGGCGTGCGGCTCCCCATGAACCTCTAGCCTTGTATGTGCATGTGTGTGTGTGTGTGTGTGTATGTGTGTGTAGGGACAGCCTATCGATAGCCACCCAGGTGGGATATCTGGCTCGGTAAATGTATCGTATCCATGTATAGACAATGCTGCAGACATGGGCCTCACACGCCTCTTGCTCCAGCGCCTTCTGGCTTGCCGTATTTAATCGCGACCCAAGACCGACCACTTTTCAATTCACCCAGCACATGTACGCAGAGTAAAACAATTACGTGCGGGCAAAAAAGACATGCCGTTGAGTGGTTACTCATACTTACCAAAGTATGCTTCCAGCTTCCTCATCCCCGCCTCTGCAGCGTGGGGCGATGCCGCAAAAAGAAGAGCGCGCCATGGCAGCGTTCATGCCACCCCGCCACAAGCGCAAAAAAGGTAGTCTCCGCTCCCAGAATCGAACTAGGGACCTTTCGATTACAATTGCTATTACAGTCGAACGTGATAAACCAACTACACCAAGCGGAGGAATACGACTTTTTGAGCCGTGCTTGGACTTGTGATGGGGGTTATAGCGCTTGGAGGCAATATGAAAGAAGTAGGAGCAGATGCGCGTGAGCCGGCTAATCTATCGCCTCTGCTATCGATCAAGCACCTCAGACTCGCCTAATCCTCAAGCGCATTGAACTTTTGCAAGCGCCCAGCAACATGACCAATCCCGACGAGGACGAATGGGAGTACGAGTACGACGAGACCGAAACGGAGGACTTTTACATTCCACTCGATCTTTCCAATGTTCCCGCGGCCCAGATTCCAATGGTGTCGCAAGGCCGGTCAGGCCATCCGACTTTGCTCAAAAGCCGACTGCGTGCGCTGAACGCCGCTCGAGGGCAGCCCACCGAGTTTGCTGCCGACACCAGCCATGGGCAGGATACGGCGACAATGGGCGAGGTACAAGTCATCGACCTGCACACGCCCAACCCGCTCGTCATGTACAACGGCGAGCTGCTGAGTTGCCACTGGACCTCGACCATCGGAACCGACATGTTCTTCGTGAAACCGGATGCGGATGCCGCGAACCCGACTCAGCCCTTGCGCTCGCTGCCAGCCGTCGATTTGCTGTCTCTGGGATCTGCAAAATTGGTTGCAAAAGTCGGACATCTGCGGCCGCGTGACGATGTGAGCCACTCGGATGATGCGCAACAGGTGGCCGAACCTACGGGCGCACAAAGCAGTGGTCGCGATTCGGCTGCTCCACCATCCGGTGAGGGTGGAGGACAGCAATCCTCTGACAATGGGGCCAAACCAACCTCATCCAACTTCCTTGCGCGATTGAATGAGGCAAAGGCGAAGAGGGGAGACAAGTCAAAGTTGGCAGTCTCCAAGACTTCCGACGGTCCTCGTCTCGTGGCTGAAAAGGCGGATGCTCCAACCGAGGACTCATTGCATAATGACAATGACACGGCCATGGGAGGGGTGTGAAGTTGATGGAAGAGGGTCTTGAACACGGAAACTCGCGTATTTCGGTCTTCTCGCTCGAGCTGAGGCACGTTTGTTGCTGCCAGGCAAAGGTATCTCTGGAGTACGGCAATAGCGAAGTGGTCTGGACTGGTATTTGCAGTGTCGTCATGAGCAGACACCGCTTGTGATGGGACGACTTACTGAAGCATGTACGATTTACTGGGTGAAAAACATGAGAATCAAGGATTGTGGATGACTGCTGGGTACTTGGCAGTTTGAGTTTCGTTCATGGGCGGTGCCTTACTCCAGCAGCGGGGGACGAGAGCTCCTACCGTGGCAACATGAACCCCGAGTATGCCCACGTTTTAGGCTGCGTGTGCGCCCTGCTTCCTACACACGCTCAGCCACCTCCCAGCCGTCCTACTTCTCCTATTCAATCTATTTCTGCCCCCTCTCTGTAGTCTGCTCCTACCTGTCCTCGATGCAGGGACCGCAAAATCGGCTGAGTGTCGACATCATCCCTGATCAGTCTTTGGAAGCAGCTGAGGCGTTCATTTCATTTTCGCAATGGTTATCTGGTAGGCGCGGTGAATATGTGACAAGAACCAAGGATAATACGAATGATGCAAAGGGCGGCAGTTTTACACATACAGATGCAGAGGGCGTGATCGCGAACGAAGTTGCAGACTGGCTCCAGTCCCAGATGTTCGATGATTTTTGGATGTCTACAACAAGACAGACTCGGCCCGTAAGCGATATATGTCAACAGATATGGTTGAATTATCTGACTTGGATAGTCACCTCATGAGACATCTCAACTGCTCAGACATCTCAGGTGTGCCGACTCATTCCGAGTCACGCCACAGAGCGACTCTACTACGTCCGAAACAATTGTGCTTCTAGTTGCCTTGCAGCTGCTGGCAGCTTGCTATACGTTATTACCAAGCACTAGCGCAACCCATGTTCCTCTCACGCAGCAGCGCAAAGAGCCAGGACCTGCAACAGCTCTTCGTGCATGCTCGAAATATCGTTTCTCTCCAGCTGCTGGCCACCACGCCCGTCCATCTTCAGAAACGGCTTCATGGCCGGATCTTTATACGGGGCCTTCAATCGAAGAGAGACTAGCAGAACATGTCAGTCATCAGCGCCGACGGCAGAAGCATCACTACGAACACACTCCATCCTTTGCTGGAAGTGGCTGGACAGACGGACCGCCCCCGGTAGCTACACGCACCCAGTCGAGACGTAGCCTGTCGCCAGCCAGTTCGAGCTCGTCAGATGCCGAGCCTGGCTTCTTCTCAAAGCTTATATGCCAGGCGGCAATACCGAAAAACTATCAGCGAAAACACAACACCATGTTCTTCAGCCGACTCTCACTGAGGTCAAAGAGGCAAAAGCAATTACAGGCTGAGGAAGAGAGTCATTACCAAGATGAAGAGCAATCTGATCAAGACTTCAGTGCGCAGCCCGTACAGCGCATACCCTCTGCACTTCGCCTTCGCCTGACGCAGTCTGCTCCGAGGATGGTAGCAAAGGAGGTACCCATCCAAAAGCCTCGCATGATAAAACGGCACAGCTCAGATCCGTCCATCGGCAGTCCTCTCGAGTATCCCTTCCAGATTCCCGAGATCCACCGTGTGTCGGCCACAACGAGCGGAAGCTGGTATCCAGATTCATCTGCAGGCGGCTCTGTACGCGCTTGCGGACGGGGCGATCTCATTACTGCACATGATTACTTTGACGACGACAGTCCAGACACCCCATATACACCACGTAAGCAGCAGAGGCAATGGACGACGCCGCGCTGGAGACATAAGTACACCGGTGCGGACTCACTACTAGAGGCTGCTGCATTAGGCCAATCCATGGAGATGAATGACTACTTTGGACCAGTCCATATTGGCGCACCGCATGCAGATTAGGATGATGATGCGGTCGCTGAAAGAGAACACAGTGACGCAGGTCCTGAGGTAGACGAGGATCCTAGATTGCAAAAAAATGCTAGGCAAAACCAAAGGCCAGCCTGCCCAAGACGAGTCAAGTGAGAGCGACATGGAAAAGACGAAGAAACGAAGGAGTATCCACCAATCGTCGCCTACAGCTATGGAGGTTGCAAAGCTATTTCGGGTCAAGACAGAGGACCGCCATGATTATTTTTCAACAGAGTAAATGGGCAATGCGAGAAGGTCGATGAGGCTTCTTGACTGTCTCATGCAGTTTTGACTGCAGAGGCGCCTCGCACATCAGATCTGTACATCCTGTAGACCAACGTGTCTCTTATCCCTAGCACCGGATTCTCAAAGTCTCTCTCCTTTCTCTCGTGCAGCCTGAAGCCAACCTTTGTCAATACGTTCTGACTAGAGACCAAGTCGGGATCCGTGTGTGCCTCCGCATAGTCGTATCGCGGGGCGAGCCTCTCCGTCTTGTTGGAGCAGCCATTGGAGCCGCCCCCGTTTGTTGCATGCCCGCTGCCCGAATCCCCATTGCTCGATGCGTCGTCGCGCGATGCCCCTGCCTGGTGATCTGCGGGCCTGCAGCCAGAGTAGTGCTCGAAGAAGAGCGGCATAAAGGCTCGCAACGCTTCCGTCGCGTACCCATGTCCCCAGTACGACGCGTTGAACATGTATCCGATCTCCGGGGCGCGTACAGCACCAATGAGGCCTATGACACGTGGGCCGTCGTGGGGTTCCAGGAGGACGATGGCAAAGTTCCAATTCTGCTCAACCTGGTGGCACTAGATTTGCAGTCAGTCGTGTACAAAAGGAGCATCCATAGGGCTTGGTGTGTGGGCAAACTCGCTTACCCCTTGGATCCATGCTTTTGTGGACTCCATGTTGTCCGAAGGCAGGATCGACGTATGCATCATGACCTCAGGATGCCTGCGCATCAACAACACGTCCTCGGCATCCTCGAGGCGCAGCGGGCGGAGCAGTAACCTTTCAGTCTGGACAGAGAGATTGGGGTCAACCACGACCATGTTCCGCAGCTTCAAGGGGGAGAGATGAGCGAATTCCCATGATGGAGCTGTGCAGCCAGGCGATTAAGAGTCAGAGAGCTTTCTTGTTTGTCATCTCGTTGGACAGTTGGCGCAGGGCTGAGCTGCATGGTGATGCGAATGTACCTTGCAGCGAGGCCAAACCGCGCTAGGCCCGTTTGGGGCGGCCGATATGCCGAGCTCCCCCAAACCACAGCTGGCAACTGCTGTACACCGCATCCACGCGACAAGCACCAATCAACATGGCCTCCCGAGCTGCCGCATAGCACAGATTCCCAGTTCCATCGTCGCTCCATCGCCGTCGTTCGGTTTCAGGCGCCGCGTCCCCCTCCCCATGTCCAATTCAATTCTTGCCGCTTCCGCGAAGGGAGCCACTTTTCTCATCCTCTTGCAGGTCGCCTCTCGCGCCCTCACATTCGCTGTCAACCAGGTCTTGCTGAGGTTCCTGTCACCGGAACTGCTCGGAGTCTCAGCCCAATTGGAACTCTTCTCGATATCCGTGCTGTACTTTGCCCGCGAGAGCTTACGCGTGGCTTTGCAGCGACAGGCGCATGGCACCCAGGCAGTCGTCAATCTATCGTATCTGGCTGTCTTTGCCGGCACGCCGCTGGCCTACCTGCTTGCACTCGCCTGGTTCCGAGCCGAGACGCCCAATGTGCCGTACTTTGTCGAGGCGCTGGCTGCGTATGGCTTAGCTACCTTCCTCGAGCTGCTCAGCGAGCCAGCGTTTGCAGCAGTCCAGCAGAAGCTTCTGTACAGAGTCCGAGCGTCCGCAGAGAGTTCTGCTACCCTGCTTCGTTGCATCGGGACGTGCGGCTCGGCCGTTCTGGCCAGTCGCGCTGGTCTCGATATTGGCGTTTTGCCGTTTGCTGTTGGGCAGCTAGCTTACGCGGTGGCGTTGCTTGTCGTATATTGGTACAAAATATGGCCAGTTGCCAAGGCCGATGGCTTCTCGCTTTTCCCGGATAAGATGGCAACAACAAAAGAGAATCCTGTTCTGATGAGCTACTTGTCTGCTCCTCTTGTGCGACTTACTGCCTCTCTCAGCCTTCAGTCGGCCCTGAAGTACGTCCTCACCCAGGGAGACTCTCTTCTCATCACAACCCTGGCATCGCTGGCCGACCAAGGCGCGTATGCGCTGGCATCCAACTATGGAGGTCTGATTGCACGCATGCTGTTCCAACCCATTGAGGAGAGTAGTCGCAATATGTTTGCAAAGCTCTGTGCCAATGTGAAACCCTTGGCAACACCTGGAAAAAAGAAAGAGCCGGAGAAAGTGGACAAACAGCAGCAGCAGAACCTTGCTCAAGCATCCAAAGTTCTGAGTACCATTCTCCATCTCTACGGGATCATATCTTTGTTCGCGGTAACACTGGGACCAGTCCTAGCACCCGTACTCCTTTCCGTTGTTGCAGGGCAGAAGTGGTCTGCAACGTCTGCGTCCAAAGTTCTGGCGACGTACTGCTACTACATACCCTTTCTCGCTATCAACGGGGTGACGGAAGCGTTTGTAGCCGCTGTTGCAACCAACAAAGAGCTGTATGCACAGTCGGTCGCAATGGGCATCTTTTTTGCTCTTTTTGCAGGAAGTGCGTGGTTCTTTATTGGGCAGCTCGAAATGGGCGGTAATGGTGTGGTGCTGGCTAATACTGTCAACATGGCATGCCGCATTGTTTGGAACACATGGTTCATCGGAAGATTCTTTTCGCAGAACGGCTCTGGATTTAGCGTACTGAATACACTGCCCTCAGTTACTGCAGCGGCGCCCGCAGCTGTCATACCGACACTGATGCGGACGAAACCAGGTATCCGCTTCTTGCAAAGGTTTGGTGTCTTGGGCGAGCTGGTGAGTATGGGAGCCGTGGGCGGGATATACGTATTGCACGTACTGTTCTTTGAGCGCCAGTTCCTCGTTGACTGTTACCGCATGCTACGCCCATCCCGAGCAGCTCCGCCGGCCGAGAAGAAGACTAAATGAAGGGAGTCCGCAAACTAGGTAGCCCCTTAGTTGCTCTCCAATAAGGCTCGGCAGCATAAAGAATCCTTCTACAATATGCGGCATGGTATTCAAGCCTCTGGTGCCGCGCTTCCGTCAACCTCTTGCCCAGCTCTTGTGCAGCACGCGTTCGCTCGCAGATATGACGCCTTTATGACACCATCGGGATGTTTTGATATACCCCTGAATCCCTCTCCTGATGCAGACTTTGATGTCTAGGTGTACCGATCAGCACACTTGTGCTGTTGTTGACTGACACAAAGGCTTGCGCAGACTTTTACGTTGCCCTTGCACGTGCAGCATTAGGAGCAGTGTCTGCAGAGAAGTGGAAGCGCCGATCGTGCAAAGCAGAGACGTTGTAGTGGTTCAGGCACATTCTCCAACGTGGCTCTCGCATGCATGCAGTAACCAGCCAGATGGCGATGGCGCGTGATTGGCCACGACCCCGCTAGCGTCCGAGTTTTCCATTGTGCGGCTGGACAGGCCTGCTAACGTCATTGCGAAGACCGGAGGGTCAAGGCCGAAAATCTGGAGCGTCACGAGGCGATATTTGCAGCAAGCTCTCAAGTAATCTGGGGGTAATAGAAACCAGGTTGGCGAAACCTGGGGGTAATCAATACCAGGGCTGCATGAACAAGGTACCGCTACCGAGTTTCCTGGGGGTAAGAGAAACTAAACAACGAACCGAGGACGCGGTCATCACGCCATTAAAATTTCAACGGCTCGCACCGTCTTGTCCGATTGCGACTTGGCTGACGGCTGGAGCACCAATCGCAAATCCGGGGAATTGCGCTATCGACACCATGGTTACGACAAACGAGTCACGACACCTGCATGGGCTCGTGGATATGGGCAGTAATGGCATTCGCTTCTCCATCACGGACCTGACGCCCGAGACGCAGCGAACCCTGCCCACCGTGTTCCTGGACCGTGCGGCTATATCGCTATACGATGCCCAGTACCAAAGCGGAAAAGCCGTCCCGATTCCAGATGCGACGATCCGCCAGGTCATCAAGTCGCTGCTGCGCTTCCAGGCAGCGTGTGACGATTTTGGCGTACCGGAGCACCAGGTCCGCATCGTGGCTACGGAAGCGACTCGAAAGGCGCTCAACTCTGCGGACTTCCGGTCTGCCATCAAAGAGGCTACCGGATGGGAGGTCGAGCTCTTGTCAAAGGAGATGGAGGGCCGAATCGGTGCATTTGGCGTGGCAAGCTCCTATCACAAAGTCACGGGGCTGATGATGGATCTCGGCGGAGGATCCACGCAAATTAATTGGATTCTGAGTTCAACGCACCACGATCGGATTGAGATGAGTGACCGGGGAAGTGCCAGCCTACCGTACGGAGCTGCGGCACTCACAAAGAGGCTTCAAGAAGCGGGACCCCCTGACAGCACGACATTCAAGACGTTTGAAAGCGAAGTTGTTGGGGATCTGAAAGCGGCAGTCGAGGATATCCGGATCCCTCAACATGTGCTTGATCGATCCAAGTCGGCCGAAGGCCTTTCTCTTTACCTATCGGGCGGTGGATTTCGGGGCTGGGGCTTTGTGCTCATGTCTCAGCATCCCGTGCAGCCGTATCCCATACCAATCATCAACGGCTTCCGGACTACCAGTGACGTCTTCCACGACACGCAAGCTGTGCAGGCAGCTGTGCAGCAGCAAGACACGCCTGAAATCTTTCGAGTATCGGCACGCAGAGCTAGCCAAGTGCCTGCTGTGGCCTTTCTGGTCCAGTGCTTGTCCAAGGCACTCCCGAGCATCAAGGATGTGTACTTTTGCCAGGGCGGAGTGCGCGAGGGGGTGTATTTTGCAGAGATGAACCAGTCATGCTGGTCTGACGCGCCTATAGTAAATGCAACAAGAGCATATGCATCCAGTTCGAGTTCGGAATTGCTAGGGTTGCTGAATGAAGCAGCAGTGCCTCCGCCATGGGCATCTCACAGGGAAGTGTTCAGCAACAGCATGATGAGAGCATTTGTGTATACCATGTTTGCACACCGGGCTCAAGTCAAGGACCTTCGCGGCGGGTCTGCGCTGAGAAGCACCACAACGGGCGTCTTTTCTGCAGTCCACGGCCTCAGTCACGAAGAGCGGGCCACTCTCGCCATTCTGCTCTGTGAGCGCTATGGAGGCTACAATACGATCAGTCCTACGGAACAGGACTTTTACCAGCGAATGCTCCAGCTGGTGCCAGCGGAGCTGCGGTGGTGGTGCATGTATCTGGGCCGTGTTGCTGGGGTGCTCACGAGCGTGTATCCAGCGGGCAGTGTTCGGCAGAGCAGGGTCCAGGTGAAGGTGCAGTGGGCGACTACGAAGAAGGAGAATGAGAAGCTGTGCATTGATTTCAAGTTCAGCCAGGAGCCGGACGAGCTGGACGAGGGGCTTCACGCAGCACTGCAAAAGGTGGAGAAGGTGGGCAAGAAGAAGAACTGGGTCGGGGGACACGGCTACAAGGTGCTTGTGACGGTGAATGGCGAGGCATACGGCTCCGAGTGAGTGAGAGGTAGAGGTTAGGCGTGTAGCAGAATCAAAGTTTGCGTGGCTGCGGCGGGCTGTGGCGACTGATCAGCACGGCCGAATACTGGTGACGATGGATACTTCCGGCGAGGCCAGACCATGGAAGATGCTGTGGAACAGACAGCTGACACGGGGCCATCGTGACTCGCTGTAAGCGGTGTGCCTGTGCTTGCTCCACGAGGACTCGAGAGGCTTCTCGGCCAGCCTGATGAAGGGTCGCGAGGCCGCACGTGCAGCGGGCGCCCAGTCCCAAGGAGCCACGTACAGTCACGGAAACGCCGTAAAGAGGGTGAGGAAGGATGCCAAGGATCGTGAAGTGTGCAGGACGCGTAGTGGGGGAGTAGGGTGGTGAGGGCCACTACTGCGGCATCCTTGCAGCACGAGCATGGCCGGTCTGGCGGGAGGGCAACATGGCACGTCGGGTGACGCTGTCTCTCGGCCGCACTGGCGAAAACTCTGACGGTATCTGAGGCCTTTTCTGGTCGCGCAGAGGTCGGGTTGGGTGGGTGGAGTGAGGGGAGTGGGTGAATGCCGGGGGCGATGCAGTTGCAAGCGCTAGCGCCAATGGCAAATTCTGGGGAAGCTCGAGGCGCCCGCTGGCCCTCGGCTTGCGGCGGGACAATCCAGGTACGCACGCTTTTGCTTTGCCCTCTTGCTCTGGTCTAATCCCGCCCATGACCACGACGCCCCGCCCGCTGCTATAAAAAGAAGACGCCCGCCCCGGGGCTGACGGCTGGAGAGAGAGAGAGAGAGAGAGATAACAAGGTCGAGCACCACCTCAGCTCCGGCTCTGCACTCCTTGGTCTTCTTCGGCTTCTTCTGCTTCTTCTTCTTCTTCGACCATTCCATACTTACTCAGCCTTATACGGCCTTTTTGCCTCTGGACCTGGCCTCTCGCCGGCAGCACCAAAAATAGACTGGCCTTCTTCCCTGCTACTGCTCCACCATCCATCGGTCCATCGGTCCCAAGACACTATTGCTATCGCTGCCCTTGAGGCTGTCGAGACATTGCGCCCCCCGTACAGCTCTCCGTCGCCAGACAGCCAGTGACACGTCGTGCTCCGGTCCCCCCAGGCACAGGGCCCAGCAAAAGAGCGGTGGCACCTCTGCCCAATTGCCTCTGCAGTCGTTATCCGAGCGGCCATCGGTAGCCCTCCTTTAGCCCGTTACACGAGGTAAGAGGCCAGCTAGCGTTCCTGCGTCATGACCGTCGCCGTCGCGAGGGGCCCGGAGTAGCGGTGGATCTAATCTTCCATGCTCACGTCCGGTGCTCGTTGCGGCCCCTCGCCCTCAAATACTGAGCCCCCCCACTGACGCCCTCTCTAGTTTCGCACTCGGCCACGCCTTTTTTTTCTGCTGTGCTACCAAGCACTTCTTGGCCTCGCCGCGCTTTGCTCTTGTCTGCCCCTCTCCCCGCCCCCGCTACCGGCCAAACTCCGTCACGCTATAGCCCGACCATTTCGGTGCATTTTCCCTCATACCCACGCCCAACATGGCTTCCACACCCAGCGACGGCGCCAATGGCTCTGCCCCCCAGCACAAGCAGCTCGAGCAGCTCCTCAACACGCCCGACCGACGGCCCTCGCCGCTGCCCACACATCTGAGCGTCCCGGGCTCCTCAGGACACTCGACTCCCCGCATTCTCCCCCAGGAAGGCTCGGGCGGCTCTGGATATGTCGCCCCCGTCTTCGAGGGCAAGGAGAAGCAGATGGAGGCCGTCATGGATGGAGTCGAGGAGAGGGGATTCATGCCCCCCGAGCTCGTCGAGTCCGAGACCAAGTGGTTCTACAACGAGCTCGGCATTGACGACATGTACTTTGCTACCGAGACGGTGGACGCGTAAGAAGCCTGGTTCCGTATGTACGCACAGAATCACGACGCTAACCTGCATCTCCAGCATCGTAAACCACATCCACTCGCTCTACGCCGCAAAGGTCGCCGCTTACGCCAGAGACGACAAGCGCCTTGAGATCCGCCTCGACAAGGAGGCCGCCGACCATGCCGTCTACATCGACACTAGCAGGCCCGGTGTGTCTGTCATTGACGGTCCGCAGTACGAACAGCGCATTGGCAAGAAGTACCTGGCCGCCTCAAAGCCCGGTCTTGCGTACCGTGTTGAGAGTTTCCGCTCCGAGAGCCCGCTCCCCGGAAGCGACGAGCAGCAACTTCGATGCTACTTTGTCTACCAGTGCGACTTTGTAGACCCCAACCCCAGCGAGACGGAGACCAACCTCGACAAGATTGGTGACAAGCGTTTCTTGCAAAAGGCCACGGCCAACACCAAGGCCATTTACCAGCAGGTTCTCCAGGTCGCGGTAGAGCGTACTGGACCCGTCATTGACCACTTTGACATTGAAGGCTCGCGGGACAAGCGCCTGGTCGTTGGTTTCAAGCGTGGAAGCGCTCTTGGTCTCTTCAGCGCCCTGAGTGACTTGTACCACTACTACGGCCTGACGACGTCGCGAAAGTACGTCGAGCAGTTCTCCAACGGCTACACCGTCATGTCCCTGTACTTGCGCCCGTTGCCCGGAGCTGCGGGCGCCAAGCACCCACCTATTGAGGCCTCCATCCACCAGATCACCAAGGAGGTTTCGCTGCTCTACTGTCTCCCGCAGAACAAGTTCCAGACGCTCTTTGCCACTAGCAGGCTCAGTCTGCAAGAGACCATTTACGCACACTGTGTATGGGTCTTCATTACCCACTTCCTCAACCGTCTGGGAAGCGAGTACACTGCCCTGTCAGCAATCTTGGACCAAGAGAACAGCGTACACGCTGAGCTCTTGTCAAAGCTGAAGCGAAGGCTGCGTGCCGAGACGTTTACTGCCGACTACATCTACGAGATCATCATGAACTACCCTGATCTCGTCCACACCCTGTACCTGCCCTTTGCAAAAACGCACTACGTCCAGACGCGCGGCCAGGACGATGACTTCCTACCCACCCTGAGTTACCTCCGTCTGCAGGTCGACAGGGTCCAAACTGACGCCGAGCTGACCGACACCATCAATAAGGCTGTCGTCAACGACCACCACGAGATGGTCATGACGTCTTTCCGTGTCTTCAACAGCTCCGTCCTTAAGACCAACTTCTACACCCCCACCAAGGTGGCCATCTCGTTCCGTCTGAACCCCAACTTCCTCCCACCTTCCGAGTACCCCCAGCCGCTGTACGGAATGTTCCTCGTCATCGGATCAGAGTTCCGCGGTTTCCACCTGCGCTTCCGCGACATTGCTCGTGGTGGTATCCGCATCGTCAAGTCAAGGAGCCAGGAGGCATACTCTATCAACGCACGCTCCATGTTTGATGAGAACTACAACCTCGCAAACACACAACAGCGAAAGAACAAGGACATTCCCGAAGGTGGATCCAAGGGTGTCGTGCTGCTCGACTTTAAGCACCAGGACAAGGCTCGGGGCGCTTTCGAGAAGTACATTGACAGTATTCTCGACCTTTTGCTTCCCCCTACCAGTCCTGGTATCAAGGATCCTATTGTTGATTTGCACGGCAAGGAGGAGATTCTGTTCATGGGTCCTGACGAGAACACGGCTGATCTTGTCGATTGGGCTACTGAGCATGCTCGTGTCCGAGGTGCCCCATGGTGGAAGTCGTTCTTCACTGGAAAGAGCCCCAAGTTGGGTGGTATTCCTCACGACCGCTACGGCATGACGACTCTTTCCGTACGCGAGTACGTCAAAGGAATTTACCGCAAGCTCAACCTCGACCCCAGCAAGGTTAGGAAGATGCAGACTGGCGGTCCTGATGGTGACCTTGGATCCAACGAGATCTTGCTCAGCAACGAGAAGTACATTGCCATTATCGATGGTTCTGGTGTTCTCGTTGACCAAAATGGTATCAACCACGATGAGCTGCTGCGCCTGGCAAGGGAGCGTAAGATGATCAACCACTTTGACGTCTCAAAACTCTCGCCCGAAGGCTACCGCGTTTTGGTTGACGACACCAACGTGCGACTGCCAAACGGAGACTTGGTCTACAACGGTACAACCTTCCGCAACACATTCCATCTCCGTAGCGACATGCACTACGACACGTTTGTTCCCTGCGGTGGACGCCCCGAGTCGATTGATCTGTCTACTGCCAACAAGCTGATTGTTGACGGCAAGTCTGTGATTCCATACATTGTCGAGGGTGCAAACTTGTTCATTACTCAAGACGCCAAGCTCCGTCTTGAAAAGGCGGGCTGCATCTTGTACAAGGATGCCTCGGCGAACAAGGGAGGTGTCACGTCGTCTTCGCTCGAGGTCCTTGCATCTCTTTCATTTGATGACGAAGGCTTCATCAAGCACATGTGTGTCGGCGAGGATGGCCAGGCCCCTGAATTCTACAACAACTATGTGCGCGAAGTCCAGAAGACTATCCAGAACAACGCGCGTCTCGAATTTGAGGCCATCTGGAGGGAGCACCAGGCCACTGGTCAGCCACGAAGTGTTCTGAGCGACACGCTCAGTACTGCCATTACCAAGCTTGATGAGGAGCTTCAGAACACGGACTTGTGGAAGAACATTCCATTCCGGGAGTCGATTCTCAAGGAGGCGCTGCCCAACATTCTGCTGGAGAAGATTGGTCTCAACAAGATAATGGAGAGGGTAAGTTGTGTCCAAAGGCAGTTCAAGCAGAATCTAACAGACCATAGGTACCGGACAACTATCTGCGTGCCATCTTCGGCAGCTACCTTGCCAGCCGCTTTGTTTACGAATACGGCGTCTCATCGAGTCAATTCGCATTCTTCGACTTTATGAGCAAGCGCATTACCAAGGGCAATGCTGCTCATTGAAAACCCTTCAGCTGCATGGACATGGCACTTTTACAGGCGTTTGGATGGATACAAAAAGTTTATTGTTTGGGTTTGTGTGAGATGATTAACCATCAAACGGCGCTTTGGAAGCCCACTGGTGTGGGTGCTGTTTGCATGGGCGGCTCTTTGTAGCCGTACGACGACGAGAAGATGAGATGATTGAATACGATGCATGATGATGTGGAGCTTGGCTTGTTGCCTTGTTGTTGAATATCAAATCACAATCAGCCTCAATACAATGAGTGTGACTTGAAGATGCAGGGCAATAGATGGATGCGGCTAATGCGAAGCTTGCACGCTCAAAATGAAGAAGACACTACAAGCCAAGATGTGTTTGAGAATATGATGAGTAGGCTATGCATGGAGCACTGCAGAGGTTGAGGATGCAAAGTTCTCCTGTGTCACGTACGCCGTTTGTTGAGGCATATGCGATATAGTAATACTATAGTGCTGGGAAATATGGGGGGGATTATTGTGATAAAGCCATAATTACGGGCATGATGCGGTTGAACAACATTTAGTGTTTGTTTCATGCAGATCGGACAACTAACTTTCTATTTGGTGTAGCTGTTGGTAGGCCCGAATTGGATATTAAAAAAGCCAAGCATGTCTCCGCCTTGGTCTGGCAAAAAAAAAAGACAAAGTTTAATATTGCTAATAATAGGCCCGATTCCCAACCAGCTAATTAAGTACTTTTAGTGTCTACTTAATGCGACGGGGGAACGAACGTACATAGTACTTATTACTTGAAGCTACGGGTGTACATCTTGCGATTGTGTGTGTGTGTGTGTGTGTGTGTTTCTTCAATACAATTGCACCTCCTCTACAATGAAGATACAATTCTGGTTTCCAGCAGCCCTTGGCGTGATATTTCCTCATGCCTCGTCGTCTCTTGCTCTCACAACCACTACTACGAGCCCAAGCTGCCCCCTAACCTTTGACGGGCGCATTCCTCAAAACTTCACAAAAGCGACTTTTGAAACGGCACAGAGTCCTTTTAACCGCAAATACGTTCTCGGACTGAGTAAGTACCTAAGGCTCTATTCTAAGTTTTTTTCAAATCTATGTACGTACTATGTATGTACGTACATGGTTTCTTGGGTGGGCTGAGGGCTGACTTTGAGTGTGTCACGCAGACCAGACTTGGAGCCAGGTGATTTCGTTTCCGATGGATGTTGAACCTTCGATTTTTGATCGTGCGGCGGGTACGAAGCCCATCGAGGTGGAGATAACGTAAATCCCCCCCCCTTCTTCACGCACCTACTATAGCAATAGCTTAATAGTGTATTCGCAGCGACAAATCCGTCTTCGCATCCGACTCAGAAGGCCATGAAACCGCCCTGCGCCGCGCCGAGCTCCTGGTCAACGGCAAAAACCAAACCGTGTCGGGCAAAGTAAGCTGGTTCTTCTCGGTGCGCACATCGCCATCTGCGTCGCACGCGCTAAATCTCTCGCACGAGTATCTTCTCGCGTTCCACGAGGCCCAGGATTTCCAGGCGGATTTTTGGTCCCTCAAGGTCGGGCGCCCCATGCAAGAGGCCAACGCCACAAACGGCACAGCAGGTAGCCATCTCGCAGCAGCATATGGTACTAATATCGGCTTCCGCCATCCAGCCGTCTCGCCCGCCATGCTGGAAACAGGAAGCGTAATCTACCTGCAAGGCTACAAGTGGGCTCAGCCCATCCAAACATACTTCCTCGCGCCTTTTACACCGCATATCTGGCACAACTTTGGTCTCTACCTCGACTTTGAATCCAACCACATGCAAGTCGCGTATTCGACTGGCTCCCGCCATTTAGACATCGTCACCCCGTTGCTGCCGAATAATATCTCGGGGATCGCCCCGACCACCCTGGGCGAGACGCATTGGGGCTTGCAGAAGAGGCCCGTCGGAGCGAGTCTGCAGGATTTTTTGTTCAAAGGCGAGCAGCCGCATGGGATTCATGAGCGACTGGCTATTGGGGGCGTTTTGCAGGTCAAGGGGAGTTTGAGGGATTGTGTGGGTGCGTGGGGGGCTTAGGGGTCGTGGTGGTGTGGGAGGAGGAGGAGGAGGAGGGGAGTGCTTGTTTTTGTAAGTATGGGGTTTGTGAATTAAGCTTTTTCTCTTCTTCTTCTTTTACTGTACAAGCTGGGGCAGCGTTTATTTTTATTTTTTTCTTGTATGATGTATTTATGATAAGAGCACAGCTGCTCAAGATATGTGTGTTGCTTCTTTGCCTTTGTGATTGCCAACCTATCCTACTCTAGATGATGATGATGATGATGCGGCGGCGGCGGCGAGGCCGGCGAGGGCGAGAGGTGTGATGCGCATCTTGTTCGTATATATATGATGTGTAGGTATTATGTGAATGCGCAAAAGGTGATTGCGCGTAAGTAGTCTCATTCTTCAATTGGGCATGCAGTGCTTCTTATACCGCAATTGCGGTCAATATATCCCCCAAGGCCTAGACATGCACTTTACGAGCATTGTCTCCATAGTAAACGGAACGCCTTACTGAAATTTTCAGGCTGCAGCCTAAGGGGGGGCACACCGTGGGCGTGTGATTGGCTACACAGTGGCTCCAACCTTCCTAATCCGGCTATTCTGGGGGCCGGGAGAGAGAGAGAAAATAGGGTACCCGCTCGCGAGGAGGCCGGTTCTATATTGAGAGGGCAAGGCAGCACGGGAATCACGGCAGAATGGGTATTCGGCCTGGATTGCTGTGTTCCCCTCCCCCCCCCCCCCAAAATTTTTTTAGGTAGGTATGCTGTTGTGCGTATGGGAAAAGAGAAATTCGGATATTTAGAGGTGGATAACTCTCTTAGTGTAGGTACTATGTAGTGGCTTCCTCCGCCCTCGTCTCCCGTAAACAAGGCCGCCCAGACATCACCGGCTCCTACTGGGACGTGACTGTTTCGCGGCAGGCGGGCCGCCCGGGCTACGAGATCCGCGATCTCAGCGTCACGTTTTACAGCCCCAAGTTTGATGTCGTGGCAGAGGCAAAGTGCCATTATAGCTTTGTGCCGCAGGGCACGAGGCCGCCGTCCGAGGTCAATGAGTGTAGTTCTGGGTTGGAATATACATGGGATTGTACGTCTTTTCTCTCTTTTTCTCTACTTTAACCTTTCAACTTTTTCCCTCGTCTTCCCGTGTGTTCTTTTTGGCGTCTTTGGGGGGGGGGTTTGCATGCGTATCGAGCTACGCTGGAAATAAACGTGTAAAACTTAGGAGATGAGTTTCTAACGCTTTTCCCAGATACCACGCTGAGTCTGCGCCAAAACGTAAACTTTGGAAACGAGACGCTGCTGGTCTTTGGCAATGCTGTCATCGAGGCGGAGCGCAGGAGTGATGGTGCGGGCGGCAGCTCGGCAAAGGGAGCTGGCAGAATCGAGATTCATCATTATTGTAATAGCATTGGATGCTCGGATCCCGATGGCTGTGTTACGCTTACTTGCCGCGATGGGCTGGTCGATTAAGTGATGGGGGAGATGGAGGAACGTCTGTTTCAAAGTAATGAGTAAAAGGATGTAAATATGGGAATGTTCGCGGTATATGAGGCTGTGGGGATCCTTCCTTGGAGTTTAAGAAGTTCTTGTACATGTACTCGGGATATCATGATTGCTAGCTATTCCTGCGACCAAAATTAGAATATCGGCATCTTCCTTTACCCTCACTCAACACATACTTTGCAGCTCTTGGACGTGGTATTATTCAGATGACTATTTGCTTCCATTCACAGAAACTTGCTGGATAGCTTCATTGCAGCCGGAGAATCTGGGGACTAAATGGCCACATTGTGCTTGCATAACTCATCGGCGACTCACTAGAAGAAGAAAACTATGAGATGAGCTCCCCTTGGTTATACAGCGGGAGTGATGAGCCAAACAAAGACTTTGATCTGCTGTTGTAATCGAGATGGGCGCAGTAAAGAGGTAAAGTAACGATATTGCTCGCTCCACCACATCTCCGCCCAGATAAATACAAGAAACATCAAAATACGCAGGCAGCCATTTTGGATAGTGGAGATTTTGAATGAGCATCTTTAGACGTCTGGAAGAGTTCGGAGAGCTGAAGCTTTTGAAGCTGGAAGGGAAGAATAGAATGATTGATTTAACTGCAGAAAAATTGAGAGATGAAGGAAGAAAAGGAGCAAGCTCAACTACGTATCCAAGTTCAGATGACCCAGAAAAGCGTGAGAGACGAGCAGCAGCTAGAAAAGCGAGGAAGAGCGAGAGAGCCAACAAGGCAGCTGAAAACGCGCGCCAGACAGCAACCCACGACCATGGAAAGACCATACCTAACACCCCCAAATAAACAGTCGTAAGCTTTGAGAAGATTGTCCTGCAAAGCGTAAGCACCAGAAACGTATTGTCGCTGCTATCGCAATAGTACCAGACGCAAGCAGCTGCACCGCTTCATCCATGTACGCAGAAGCACACGCGACAGGCGCACCATCACGCAGCTAAAACGCCCAAGTAAATCGCAAAAACCTTCTGCATATCTCACCATTAATCCGCTCATCAACATCACAATACCATCTCTTCCATCTCTTCCATCCATCTCTCGCATCCCAGCCCGCCAAACCCTTTCTCTCTCTTTCCCGCATCCGCGCGCAGCGTGACTCGGGGTGCATTTGCGGCGCAGAATAATAAGACCAGGGACAACTGAGTATACATACCTAGTCTGTTATCAAACAGGCCGCGCTTCGCTCGTAGGTAAGTAAAATTCCCACCACCACCACCACCACCACCACAAACCAGTCTACATACGTACGTGCCCGCCAATCTAAACCCCAGCCAACCACGGCATCGGGCGCACCCCCCTCCACACCTCGTCTCTTGCAACCGACAGATACATACGTACGTGCCATCGCTCCCCTTGCTGCGTTTCTGCGCTGGCCCGCGGTTTGCGGCGTGGCCTGGTCCGGGCCCAGCCGTGTTTTCCTCAGCTGACCCTGTAGTGGAATCCTTGCTTTGGGCCCGATTCCGATGTCGTTATTGTGGTGGTTGTTAATCTTGTTGTTGGACACGTCTTGACGTGCAGGGCTGGGCTAGTAGCCATGTACGTATATACATGGCTGCTTGCCCTTGGTTTCTGCTTACCGCTCTTCCCTCCTCCTTCTCTCCTCCTTCTCCCTCTCCGTCTATCCCTGGACTTCCCCTTGCTCTTCCACTGGTTTTTTTATCGACGCAGCTTGCTAGTTGCGACGAGAGCTTTTTTTTTGTTGCGCATTCACGATAGACGGTATATCGAGGTGCTAGAGTCGGGTTTTTTTTTCTTTTCGAGAGTGAGTTTCTGGTTTCTGTTGGTTTGCGGCTTGTGTTGGTGGCGCGGTGCTGATGGCCATGGTGGGTTTGGGCTATCTACTTATGCCGAGGGGCGGGCGAGAAAAGATGGGCTGGCAAAGTCTGCCCGCATTGTGGTTTGATGGCCGTTTGTTTCGGTGCTTTTTTTGTCTCTCTTTCTTTTTGCTGTGCTTCAGAGCAGGGCTTGTGGTAACGGTTTTTTTATTTTGTTTTTTTACGCGCAGAAACGGGTAACATGCTAATTCCCCGTCTTCTTTCTTAGCCTACGACTTGCGCCGTTTATTGCTTTTTTTTTCGCATAACGGCCACGGCGCTTACAGACATTCCGACTTAGAGAAGAGTACCACTTCGATCTGAATCTTTGGTAGAAACAACAAGAGCCGAGAAACCAACGACCGAAAAAATGGGTGCTACTACGCGTGCCAGAACAGGTACGTTCCCGAAGCATGTTGCTGTCTACTATCACGCCATCTTCCAAGTTCTCTTCCCATCATCACCATGTCCCCCCACCACCACTTACCCCCAAAACACAAAAACGACGATAATAACACAGAAACCCACAAAAAAAAAGGCAACTCCAAACCCCGCATCATTTCCAACCTGGAATCCGCGCTCCCTCCCACCACCAGCACAAAGGCAAATACCTCCAAGCCGCGCGCGACCAAAAACAACGGCTCCAAAGTCGCCGGCGGAAGAGTGACAAAAGCCAAAAGCGGTACAACAGCAACGCCAACAACATCAGCAACAGCAACAGCGAAGAAAGACAAGCCCAGCGCCAACGTAAAAACCGTCAAGAAACCGCGCACAAAGACGGAGAAAGCCGTGGATAGCGTCGTCGGGACAGCTGAGAAGGTAGTTGGGGATTTGCAAGGCAAGCCGGGGAAAAAGGTATGTTGTTTTTGTAATCCTCTTCTCTCTTTGCTATCTTGACCCTCGTCTTTCCTTTTTTTTTTCTTCTTCTTCTTCTTCTTCTTCTTCATCATCTTTTGCCTGCTTGCAAGATGGACATCTTGGGATTCGAATCAAAAAAAAAAAAAGGCTACAATGCTGAAAAGCCATACATGCCAAGCTAGCTTCACATTTCACATTTCACACCGCACACAAGATAACCATGCTAATTCTCAATTCCGAAAAAAACACAGGCTGCAGGTACATCCAAGATGCGCGGCACAGACTCAACAACAACAACGACCACCACCACCACCACCAAACGCGCACGTGCTTCTGTCAAGACTTGATTTTGAAAAAAAAATGGGCAGATTCAAGTTCTACATGTTTTTTTTTCTTTCCAACAGGATCTCTGTAGCTTTTTTTTTCTTCTTCTTCTTTTTCTTCTTCATGTGCGTCTGTAGGAAGAGTTGGATTGCGAGATTGGGAGATTGGATATATATAGCAAAGGGGGAAATGGACATGTCGTAGATGGTGCTGTTGATGTAGTGCAGGATAGTGCTTTTTTGGTTGGTATTGGGTTGAAGTTGAGTTGAGTTGAGCTGAGTTGAGTTGATGATGGAGAGGGAAAATACAGCATCCAAGTGCGGGCAGTAAGGTGTGTATGTTGGGGGGTTTAATGAATTCATGAACTACTTTTGTTGCAGTACTTGTTCGTTCGTTCGTTCGTTCGTTCATTTTTCTCTGTGATTATGTTATTCGTCATCAATACCTGGTATTCGTACGTATGTATGTATGTATGTATATATATACACGCTACTACTATCAACAATAACACATGATATCTCTCTCTCTCTCCCTCTTCCTGCATCACCACCATGGGACCCAAACAACAAGACCAAGCTTCCAGCCTGCCAAAAGCTATTTACGCCCAAACCCAAAGTGAGTCTCCGCCCCCAAAATTCCCCTCCATCCCAAATCATATTCGTCTACTTGAAAGCAACGCGAATCTCATTGGCGGGCTGCAACACGATATCGGCATGGAGGCCCGGGTCCTGCCCGTCCATTCTATTCTCGACCGTCTCGAAGCGCTGGAAGATGCGTACAAGGGTATACGCCATTTCTGTCAGCGCAAATTGCTGGCCGATGCAGATTCTGGGGCCGCCGTTGAAGGGGATGTAGGTCCAGCTCTTGGGGGTCCACGAGTCCCAGCGTTCGGGGGAGAAGACGGCTGGTGGGGGAAATGAGGCCGAGGTAGGCGGGTAAATGTCTTCGCGGCGTTGCATGATGAGGGTCGAGTAGCCAATCGGGGTGCCAGCTGGAATGCCAATGGGTTGTTGGCCGTCTGGACCGCCGCCCATGGGCAGCGTGGTGTCTTTGAGGGCGATGCGGATGTTGTAGGGGACGGTGGGGTACAGACGAAGGGTTTCATTGAGAATGTGCTGGAGGTACCGCATGTTCTTTAGGTCGTCGTAGGTGGGCTGGCGCTCCAGACCAACTGTGCTGATGATTTCCTGGCGCAGTTTGGCTGTAATGGTGGGGTCCATGGATAGGTGGTAGATGACCCAGGTCAGGGTGCAGGCGGTGGTGTCGCGGCCGGCTAGAAGCACATTGACGAGCTGGTCGCGCAGCATGTCGCGGTCACGTGTGTAGGCTGCGAGGGCATGGAGGAATGTGTAGCCCTCGTCGTGGCTGGTCTTCTTTTCGAGTTCCTCGGGCGACAGAACAAGCGCAGTGTCGATGAAGGTGGATACAAAGTCGTTGATGACTTTGAGCGAGTCGTAGAAGCCCATGTGTTTGCGAGGGAGAAGCCAGTTCAAAGTACTGCTGTGAGTTAGCGAAAAATAGACCGAGACAGGTTATTCATCTTGACGTACCCAAGACGGGCGATGATGCTCTGCACGCGCTGGACATTGGAGAAGGCATCGGCAAACTCGGTCTTTGGGTCTTCCAAGCTGCCAACACTGTGGCCGAGCAGAAAGTGCGTGGCTGCGTCGAGTGTATATCTAAACATCAAGTCGAGCGTGTCGATTTCTTGGTCGCGGCCAATCTTGGAGAGAAGAATCTGCGTGTGCTCCTCGAAGATATTGATATCACTGAGGCGGTCCTTGACAAACTGCGGCCGGATCAGCTGGCGCGAGTTGTGCCACAGGTGGCCGTCGGTGCTGAAGATGCCTGCACAGCGATTGTCAGTGTTTTTCCACACGGCACGCCTTATGCACAACACCACATCCTGTCCACATACCGTTGCCCAAAAACTGGAACCAGTCCTGCCTGAACTGCTCGCCCTTGCCATAGTCCTTGAACTGCGTCGCCAGGATGGCTTTGATGTTTTCGGGGTCTGCGGTCATGAGGAGGCGCTCGCCCACGCCCACCTCCATGGTGTAGCATGTTGGCCCGCCCCATTTTCTGAACATGGCAATCCACATTTCGTATATCTGGTCCTTGAGGGCGCTTTGGACGGCTTGGTAGGCCATGTCGACGCCAAATGGCAGGTAGGTTGTTCGCGTGGGCGCCCGCGCGCCCAGTTTGCGGATTTGCGCATTGAGGTAGAGCTTGTGTCCAATGTTGTATGCGATGTAGAGGATGCCCAGGGCACCGAGGAGCTGAGGCGTTGACAGGGCCATGGTGGGCGGCGACGTCTCGAGGGTGGCGGTTGAGCGTCAGGGGCAGCGTTGGGGGCAGGCGTGATATCTTTGTGTTATGTACTCGGGCGCATTCACATGCGCCACGGCTAAACTAAGTATGTGGATGCTTGTGCTTGCGAGTAGCCGAGCGTTTGTCCTCTGAAATGTCGGGATACGATGGTGCTGCGGGGCTGGCGGTTTCTGCCCACGCCCAGGCACGCCCTGGCACGGCTTCCTTTCTGCAGTCGCCGTCTGGCACAGCAGCAGCGCCATGGCGGTTACATGTTGGGCATGGCGCGCACGACGTCTCCTGCTGCGACACAGGCGGGCGGCACCGAAGAGGACTAGTTGTGTAGACGCGTGTGACTGCGGGATGCCTTTTGTCACGCTACTGGGCTGGAGAAGCGGGGAACCTCACGATCGACGTCGCATGATGAGCGTGCAGCCAAGGTGGCGGTCGCATCCATGGCCATGTTCCTCGGCCCGCCCGCAAGCTGTCTACTATCCACCGATGTCGTGACTGAGGTGTGTTGCTTTACTGACGACAGGACAGGCTGCTGACCATCACTATCTAAGTAATCAGTACTTAGTGGCGGGACGGCCTGTCTCCATCCCGTGTGCCGCCATGGCACTCCGCAATGGATGCTGACCGCTGACGTATTCGACGGCTGCCTGTATGCGCGGCACCGTCCATGGCATATATCCCACAATGAATACAAATCAAAGAAAAAAAAGAGAACATCGAGCCTTGGACATGGTTGCGTCGCCCTACTCGGCCCTCTTGTGCTTGGATATGCCCCGCTCCACAAGCATTCTTCTACAGTACACAACTAGTATCCCGAGTCTTGGCCCCGCCCACCAACGTCTTACCGGCTGCAGTCCAACAACATCGATAGACATGGCGAGCACTTCCCAATGCAACCAAACACTCCGGTGAATGCTCCAGAGCAACACGCACATGGACCGGTATGATCCGGAGATGATGCTTGGGGGTCGGAATCGGACCTACGTTCTCCGCTGACACTCTTGAATCATATCATATATAACCTTAGCTCAGAAATACTCGACTACTGAATCATGCAGAGTACTACACTGCTTCGTCCCTGCATTTGAGCCGTGTGTGGGCGTCTTCTTCTTTTTTTTTTCCAGGCCTGTTCATCTTCTCCATCGACTGCACGATGAGAGTCGGCGTAGCGATAACGTGTTTTACAAGCGAGCGCCGCGTACAAGCGAGCGCCGCACCCTACTAACTTTGTGCACCTCTCTTATCTTAATACATAATGGCTCAACGCAACGCTAGTTAGTTAGCTTTAAATAAAGCAGATATCTAGCTCGCTATATCCTCTATTAAATCTAGTTAGATATAGAGTAATCGCAGTGCTGCTGCTATCTATAACGTGTTAGAACGAACAATCCGCCGCTGACGCGTTGGCAAGCCTGCCTAACGCGATTGCTAGCCTAACTTAAAGAAGCTTACTAAGCTAGAAGAGCAGGTAATAATTAATTATGTACTTAATCTAGATCTACGTAGATTTTCGCCTACCTATACAGCTATGCGAGATATAGCTAATAGACTACTAGCTGCGCGCGGCGCTAGCTAGGTTAGCGTCCACTAGCTGCGCAACTTTGTTAAGCGTACTAATAGTCTTACAACGCGTTTTAATTAAGCGTACAATAGGTAGAGAGCCTTATGTAAAGATCTAGTCTTAATTAAGAGCTAGTTTAAGCTTATAGAGAAGATAAAGGCTAAGTACAGCATCTTTAACAAAGACGTCTATAACTTTAACAAAGCAGGCTTTATGATAGGCAAGATCGCGACTTAGCTAGTTGTTATAGCGTTAGAGAGAAGAGGCTAGCCAAAGGCTGTTTAACTAGGTTGCCGAGAGTGGGTAACGTTTATCGCTAGGATCAATGCAGCTAGCTAGTCTATCCCACCGTTCCTTATCTTTACTAGCAAGCATCACCTATCTGCCTAGTATGAGGAGACAGAGATCCCACGCGACTAGGCGATCGCAGTTAGCGACAACGGCTGGACGACTAATAAGCTAGGAGTTAAGTGGCTAAAGCACTTTGTCAAGCATACGGATGGCAAGGTTGTTAAGGTACGCTAGCTGCTTATTCTTGATAGCTATAAGAGCCGCTAGTCACTTAAGTTCTAAGAGCTCTATAAGGCAAACAATATCTATACACTCTATATGCCACCTCACTCATCTCACCTACTCCAGCCTCTTAACGTTAGCTGCTTCTTGTAACGATGTTACAACTTCGCCAAGTATTGAGCCAATCCCAGAGCCGGATCGGAG